GTACTCAGCACTTTACAGGTTACATTACAGTAGAGGGAGGTACAGTAAGTGCAGTAGGTATACAGTGTATGTATATTTTATTTATATAGCAATAACAGGTGTACTCAGCACGTTACAGGTTACATTACAGTAGAGGGAGGTACAGTAAGTGCAGTAGGTATACAGTGTATGTATATTTTTATATAGCGCTAACAGGTATACTCAGCACCTTACAGGTTACATTACAGTAGAGGGAGGTACAGTAAGTGCAGTAGGTATACAGTGTATGTATATTTTTATATAGCGCTAACAGGTATACTCAGCACTTTACAGGTTACATTACAGTAGAGGGAGGTACAGTAAGTGCAGTAGGTATACAGTGTATGTATATTTTATTTATATAGCACTACCAGGCATACTCAGCACTTTACAGGTTACATTACAGTAGAGGGAGGTACAGTAAGTGCAGTAGGTACACAGTGTATGTATATTATATTTATATAATGCTAACAGGTGTACTCAGCACTTTACAGGTTACATTACAGTAGAGGGAGGTACAGTAAGTGCAGTAGGTATACAGTGTATGTATATTTTATTTATATAGTGCTAACAGGTGTACTCAGCACTTTACAGGTTACATTACAGTAGAGGAGGTACAGTAAGTGCAGTAGGTATACAGTGTATGTATATTCTATTTATATAGCGCTAACAGGTGTACTCAGTACTTTACAGGTTACATTACAGTAGAGGGAGGTACAGTAAGTGCAGTAGGTATACAGTGTATGTATATTATATTTATATAGCGCTAACAGGTGTACTCAGCACTTTACAGGTTACATTACAGTAGAGGGAGGTACAGTAAGTGCAGTAGGTATACGGTGTATGTATATTTTATTTATATAGCACTACCAGGCATACTCAGCACTTTACAGGTTACATTACAGTAGAGGGAGGTACAGTAAGTGCAGTAGGTACACAGTGTATGTATATTATATTTATATAGTGCTAACAGGTGTACTCAGCACTTTACAGGTTACATTACAGTAGAGGGAGGTACAGTAAGTGCAGTAGGTATACAGTGTATGTATATTATATTTATATAGCGCTAACAGGTGTACTCAGCACTTTACAGGTTACATTACAGTAGAGGGAGGTACAGTAAGTGCAGTAGGTATACAGTGTATGTATATTCTATTTATATAGCACTAACAGGTGTACTCAGCACTTTACAGGTTACATTACAGTAGAGGGAGGTACAGTAAGTGCAGTAGGTATACAGTGTATGTATATTTTATTTATATAGCGCTAACAGGTGCACTCCGCACTTTACGGTTACATTACAGTAGAGGGAGGTACAGTAAGTACAGTAAGTATACAGTGTATGTATATTATATTTATATAGCGCTAACAGGTGTACTCAGCACTTTGCAGGTTACATTACAGTAGAGGGAGGTACAGTAAGTGCAGTAGGTATACAGTGTATGTATATTCTATTTATATAGCACTAACAGGTGTACTCAGCACTTTACAGGTTACATTACAGTAGAGGGAGGTACAGTAAGTGCAGTGTATGTATAAATTTATTTTTTATATTTTATATATTAATATTTTAAAATATTTGCCCCATCAATAGTATATGTGAGCAGTTGGGTTATAATTGAATGAATCACATTTATACAAACATTTTTAATTGTTTTGGTCAATACACTTTGTGAAGAAAAAAAAAAAGGTAAATATAACAAACAATTCTATTTAGATTTGAATCCTCTGGGTTAAGATAATGAAGAGTTCCTGTAGCTGTGGATGGAAAGGGCTGTTTTATTAAATACATGGTTTGATAATAGTGACACAGACATCAAAAAACAAGCATAATACAGAATTAAACCTGGTATTGTGCGTGGAATCGTGGTTACGGTGAGTGCATAGTTCGATTCTGTGTACGGAGAAGAATTTGTCTCTAACAAACGTGAGTAAAAAAAGCAAATGAAGTGTAAGAATGAGATCAGGGCCAAGCAGAGGGTCTAGGGAGAGGGAATGAAGAATTCAAAGCACGTCTGTGTGTGTCCTGCCAGTGTCAGACTAGGCCGGGACCACGCCTGGAGTAGGCTCTGTGAACCATAAAAGGACTTGCTGTGACATCCTGAGCGAGACCATGGTGGGGGTGTCTTTCTCCTACACATTTCACAAGCAGAGACAGGAAGCAGCCTTTAAACGATCCGCTTTTTTTCACCCAGTCCCTCTTCACTTCGTTCTTCGGGGACTTTTGTCGCTGCTTCAAAATGAAATTATATTTTTTAATTTTTTTATTGGCCGAATTGATTTCATTTATTTTTTATATACTTTGTATTTTAATCCTGTCATTTATTTTAGTAAAACATTTGTTAAATTTTACCTTTGAGCAGATATCATTAATGCAGATATTATTATTTTTTATTATTGGTATTTATATAGCGTCAACTAATTCCGCAGCGCTTTACAATATTACGATGGGGGTATGGTCATTTATGATGGCAAGGTTCCCTACCTAAAAGCCCTTGTTTTTGTAGCTGTCCTCTAATATTAACCCCTTAAGGACCAAACTTCTGGAATAAAAGGGAATCATGACATGTCACGTGTCCTTAAGGGCTTAAGGGCTACTTCAAACAAAAAAAACAGTGAAAACGCTGGTATAATTTGGAATAACCCTTCCTAGCCTGCACCGTCTCCCTTCACTCCAACTGAAGAAAAAGAAATGCAGGAAAAGTGGGAGTGATGTCAGCGGAGGACAAACTTACCTCCATTCCAGCGCCGATTGTCCTCCGCTGACATCACTCCCACTTTTCGGGAGAACTAGGGTGTCCCAGAGTGGTGCGGCCGTGCAGCCATTGTCTGCCTGACGCTAGTATGCTGAGCATACTGGCACCATACACCAGTTTTGCACAGAACTGATGTTACCCGGCCCAGAACTTATTTTACACCTCCGGCAGCAGAGGGGTTAACCTCCGTATGTGCAGCATTTCACAGCGAAACTCAGAACTCCCGGCACCATGATGTCGCCTGCTTTGATGCTCGTTT